CGGGACCATCCTGGCCCGGAGCCTGACGGGCCGTTCAGCATGAAACAAATCAAACATGACAATGATCAATGAATAATAATCAAATCCTGCGTCATGCACCTACTTTCCAGCCTCAGGGACGACAGCCGGCTTGTTCTTTTTTTCGTCATGCCTGGAGGACGCAATGTCTTGTTCTTAGATACGGGCGGAAGACAAGCGCCAGCCAGCCTCTTCAGATCCAGTGACTGCGACGCTGCTGCAGGGGAACTGGGCGGCATCAGGATAATAACCGTGACAGTCAGACGAAACGCATGCAGCAATGGGGCACACCAAATTTTTCTGGACCATGGTAACCATGAATCTGAGTCTGATGCTACGGATCTGATCTACGATCTACTCGGACTTTGCCTTTCGCTGAGCCAACCATGCAGCTGCAGCCTTCTTTGACACCGACTTCGCCGACCGCCGAGCCAACCAAGCCGCTGCAGCCTTCTCTGCCGCTGCAATGTCCGCCGCTGAGGGAGTGTCCTTCTTCATGACTGCCTTCTTCTGGTTGTCTTTCTTCTTCGTGCCACCGTGCTTCTTCTTGTCACAGTTCTTACTCGTCGTCTCCTCGTGCTCCGGATGCAGCAATGGCTGCATGGCCAACCAGGTCCGCCATGGATCAACTTTCAGTACAAATACGAAAGAAACGAACTGACCTCACTACAGTGTTAGCTATAGAGGAAGTGACGTCACTGACAGACTGCAACGGGCATTGAAATTGGCAAGTGATTGCATGTGACTTAAAGCGCTTTGTCTGCCAAATCAAAGTAAGACGCATTAAATTATTATCTGAATCTCACTCAACTCATCCTCACTTTTTTCGCAAGCCACGATCAAAGCTATCACAGATCCCGATCAGTACTGAGTCTGACAGGATTGAGGCCGAGACTAAGAGCGAGGCTCCGAACCTCTCGGCCTACTATCCGGACTTCAATGTTACTATGTGGCATAAAGGTTCTCGTCTACAGGGTCGTTGATTTCCTCGCCAGGTTCAGGGGCAACTGTCTCTGCATCGTCCATAGGGTGGTCATGGAGCGCAGGCTGAAAGTTCATGCGATCCAAAAATACGCCTCGCCACATCATCTGCCAGGGTCAGGACTCGGAGAAAGACACCCGGCAAGTCCTCCATCACATCCCGGGTTTCAGGTGGATCTCCTTTACGTCGTTTCGCCACAGGTTCTGCTGGATTTGGGGCATCCAAACGTCTTTTCTTTGGTAGCGGCGTGCGCTCCATGTTTTGACCTACGAAGTTTGGGCCGAGATCTCTGGCGAGACAAGAGCGAGGCTCCGATCCTCTCCGCCTACTCCCCAGAACTCTGGCTCAAACACCTGGGCTTTCGGCCGAGACAAGAGCGAGGCTCTGAACCTCTGGGCCTACTTTCGCACAGAATCCGTGGATTTCGGCCGAGACAAGAGCGAGGCTCCGATCCTCTCAGTCTACTCTCAGAACTCTTAAAGAATCCATGGATTTCGGCCGAGACAAGAGCGAGGCTCCGATCCTCTCAGCTTACTCTCCAGAACTCTGAAAGAATCCATGGATTTCGGCCGAGATGAAAGTCTCACATCCTTTACAAGTTATTGCACACCTCGTCCCCTTACAAGGCATGGCAAAAAACAGGAACGGTCTGGTAACCCCTAGCACTCACCAACAGTGACTGGTCCTTCTGTACAGTGATTGAAAGCCTCACTCCCGCAGCTCACCTTCGAACTCCACCAGAGGCAGCATCAGCTGCAAGGCCGTTATTTTAGACTCAGCGGCTTTCAGGTTTTGGCGAAGGATGTTGATTTGATGGAGAGCGAAGTCCCTGTCCAAAGTCATCTCCTTCAGCTGGCTGTCGAGCTCTAAGCACCTGATGGTTGCCGTCCTGAGTTGCATGGTGTCTGATAAAATTCATTGAAAACTCTTAGTCTCTCCTAAGTGGCTTATTATTATGAAATTCCTTCCTAGGGGCTTTATGCGACTTTGTCTGTTCTTCTCGTAGTCCCGTTGCTTTTCCTTGCGCTTGATCTTTGACATGACTTTGGAGTCGGCATCAGAGTCCTCCTCAAGCTCCGACTCAATGATCTCCTTCTTTATGATCTGTTGCTGACGCCGCGGCCTCTGCTTGATCGTCGAAACCATCTGCAGCTCCTTCTTGATGAATGCTTGCTCACACTTGACCATGACAAAGCTATTGTAGGGAAGGCCAGTTTGTAGCATGAGAAGCTCGACAGCTGCAGAGGGACAACCGACAGTTTTAGGGGTTTAGTTTAAGGTTTAGGCGCCATAAACCCGGCAGTTTTAGGGTTTAGGCTTAGGGTTTAGGCGCCGTACCGGCAGTTTTAGGGTTTAGGCGCCGTACCGGCAGTTTAGGGTTTAAGCGCCGTACCGGCAGTTTTAGGGTTTAGGCGCCGTACCGGCAGTTCAGGGTTTAGGCGCCGTACCGGCAGTTTTAGGGTTTAGGCGCCGTACCGGCACTTTTAGGGTTTAGGGTTAGGGTTTAGTATTAGGCGATGTACCGGCAGCTGTAGGGTTTTATTTAAGGTTTAAGGTTAAAGGTCCTTGCACCGGAAACCCGGCAGTTTTAGGGTTTAGGGTTAGGGTTTAGGCGCCGTACCGGCAGTTTAGGGTTTAAGCGCCGTACCGGCAGTTTTAGGGTTTAGGCGCCGTACCGGCAGTTTAGGGTTTAGGCGCCGTGCCGGCAGTTTTAGGGTTTAGGCGCCGTACCGGCAGTTTTAAGGTTTAAAAGGGTTAGGGTTTAAGATTAGTATTAGGCCATGTAACGGTAGTTGTAAGGTTTATGAGTTATGGTATTAAGGTTTAAGCACCGACACCCGGCAGTTTTAGGGTTTAGGGTTGAAGCGCCGTACCGGCAGTTTAGGGTTTAAGCGCCGTACCGGCAGTTTAGGGTTTAGGCGCCGTACCGGCAGTTTTAGGGTTTAGGCGCCGTACCGGCACTTTTGGCGTTTAGGGTTTAGTATTAGGCGATGTACCGGCAGTTGTAGGGTTTAGTTTCAGGTTTAGGGTTAAAGGTTGATTATTATTATGCACCGGAGACCCGGCAGTTTTAGTGTTTAGGGTTAGGGTTTAGGCGCCGTACCGGCAGTTTAGGGTTTAAGCGCCGTACCGGCAGTTTAGGGTTTAGGCGCCGTACCGGCAGTTTTAGGGTTTAGGCGCCGTACCGGCACTTTTGGGGTTTAGGGTTAAGGTTTAGTATTAGGCGATGTACCGGCAGTTGTAGGGTTTAGTTTAAGGTTTATAGGGTTAACCGGAGACCCGGCAGTTTTAGGGTTTAGGGTTAGGGTTTAGGCGCCGTACCGGCAGTTTAGGGTTTAAGCGCCGTACCGGCGCCGTACCGGCAGTTTAGGGTTTAGGCGCCGTACCGGCAGTTTAGGGTTTAGGCGCCGTACCGGCAGTTTTAGGGTTTAGGCGCCGTACCGGCACTTTTGGGGTTTAGGGTTTAGATTTAGTATTAGGCGATGTACCGGCAGTTGTAGGGTTTAGTTTCAGGTTTAGGGTTAAAGGTTGATTATTATTATGCACCAGAGACCCGGCAGTTTTAGGGTTTAGGGTTAGGGTTTAGGCGCCGTACCGGCAGTTTAGGGTTTAAGCGCCGTACCGGCAGTTTAGGGTTTAGGCGCCGTACCGGCAGTTTTAGGGTTTAGGCGCCGTACCGGCACTTTTGGGGTTTAGGGTTTAGGGTTTAGTATTAGGCGATGTACCGGCAGTTGTAGGGTTTAGTTTAAAGTTTAAAAATTTATAGGGTTAAAGGCTGATTATGCACCGGAGACTCGGCAGTTTTAGGGTTTAGGGTTAGGGTTTAGGCGCCGTACCGGCACTTTAGGGTTTAAGCGCCGTACCGGCAGTTTAGGGTTTAGGCGCCGTACCGGCAGTTTTAGGGTTTAGGCGCCGTACCGGCACTTTTGGGGTTTAGGGTTTAGGGTTTAGTATTAGGCGATGTACCGGCAGTTGTAGGGTTTAGTTTAAGGTTTATTATAGGGTTAACCGGAGACCCGGCAGTTTTAGGGTTTAGGGTTAGGGTTTAGGCGCCGTACCGGCAGTTTAGGGTTTAAGCGCCGTACCGGCGCCGTACCGGCAGTTTAGGGTTTAGGCGCCGTGCCGGCAGTTTAGGGTTTAGGCGCCGTACCGGCAGTTTTAGGGTTTAGGCGCCGTACCGGCACTTTTGGGGTTTAGGGTTTAGATTTAGTATTAGGCGATGTACCGGCAGTTGTAGGGTTTAGTTTCAGGTTTAGGGTTAAAGGTTGATTATTATTATGCACCGGAGACCCGGCAGTTTTAGGGTTTAGGGTTAGGGTTTAGGCGCCGTACCGGCAGTTTAGGGTTTAAGCGCCGTACCGGCAGTTTAGGGTTTAGGCGCCGTACCGGCAGTTTTAGGGTTTAGGCGCCGTACCGGCACTTTTGGGGTTTAGGGTTTAGGGTTTAGTATTAGGCGATGTACCGGCAGTTGTAGGGTTTAGTTTAAGGTTTAAAAATTTATAGGGTTAAAGGTTGATTATGCACCGGAGACTCGGCAGTTTTAGGGTTTAGGGTTAGGGTTTAGGCGCCGTACCGGCACTTTAGGGTTTAAGCGCCGTACCGGCAGTTTAGGGTTTAGGCGCCGTACCGGCAGTTTTAGGGTTTAGGCGCCGTACCGGCACTTTTGGGGTTTAGGGTTTAGGGTTAAGTATTAGGCGATGTACCGGCAGTTGTAGGGTTTAGTTTAAGGTTTATAGGGTTAACCGGAGACCCGGCAGTTTTAGGGTTTAGGGTTAGGGTTTAGGCGCCGTACCGGCAGTTTAGGGTTTAAGCGCCGTACCGGCGCCGTACCGGCAGTTTAGGGTTTAGGCGCCGTACCGGCAGTTTAGGGTTTAGGCGCCGTACCGGCAGTTTTAGGGTTTCGGCGCCGTACCGGCAGTTTTGGGGTTTAGGCGCCGTGCCGGCAGTTTTAGGGTTTAGGCGCCGTACCGGCAGTTTTTGGGTTTAGGGTTAATAAGCACCGGAGACCCGGCAGTTGTAGGTATTAAGCCTAAACCCTAACTTAACCCTAATCGTAACCTTTTAGGCGGAGAGGTTCGGAGCCTCGCTCTTGTCTCCGCCAAAAGCACGCGACAATGTATTATGACAAAATTTAAAAAGCTTCAACCTTGAAGTTGGAGCGCTACTAATGGACAGCAAATGGCAGGCTACATTATAATGAGGCCCCGACTCCGAGAGAGCTGTCACACTGGGAAGTCGTGCGACGGGGGCTGGCTTCCTGCAGCAAAGCAGTCAGAGAATACTCAAAGACTCCCTGGAATGCAGAAGGCGGTCAGACAGTCAGTGCCACAAGGCTCCGGCTTGTCGTTCAGGGATGACACACGAAGTTGCTGGAAGGGTGCTGTCCTGAAGTCAAGCTGGAAATTTGAATCCAAAACCACACACAGCAGCCTTACATGGCAACACTGTGCCACAAGGCCCCGGCTCGCCGAGGGATGGGACAGTTGGAACTGGTTCGCTTGGACTTCGCTTCTGATTCCTCAAGCAAGGCAGTCAACAGGCTGTGACACGGGGGATCCTTGGATTTCAGCCAAAGCTTTATCCGGGTGCCTGGGAGCCGTAACTGCTACTACTACTACTACTACTACTACTACTACTACTACTACTGCTCTACTACTACTCTACTGCTACTACTACTACTACTACTAGACTACTAGTCAGCCAGACAGACCCCCTGCCAATCCAATACCATTACGGCCTCAACCTTAAAATAATCCCCTGGACCTAACCCGAATGAATGCCGGTTCTGCTGGTCCTGTAAGACCGCCTCGGACTCTGCGCATCCTGGCCAAGTGCGGGGCATACAATGTGACAAGCATGACAGGTCGTAGCAAACGACGTCCGGTTTTACTTGAACTTCAGCTGCAAACTTCACAGCTACTTGGCATGCAGACGCGCAATAGCACAAGAATAATGGCAAGGGCACGTGTTTTGCACCATTCAAACTGCTCGAATCAGAATCTGTGGTGAGTCTGTGCTAGATTAATTGGGAGTTGGATGGATTTCGGCCGAGACAAGAGCGAGGCTCCGAACCTCTCCGCCTAATCTCCAGAACTCAGAAAGCACATGGATTTAAGCCGAGACAAGAGCGAGGCTTGGCGGACTTCTGAACCCCTCCTAAAAGTTAAACTGTTAGCCTCCTTATATATTATAGCTCATATAGAAACCCTTAAAAGTCAGTTAAAGTCTAAAGAGCCAACCAGAAGAACGCCAAGGATGCTCCGATCCTTTCAGCTTACTCTCCAGAACTCTTGCTCTTACTGTGAGTCGCTGTTGGCAGCCGAGGCTCTGATCCTACGGAGGACTCTGAGATGGCTTTTATGATTCGCTCTTACAGTGGGCAGCCTCGACAGCCAAGCGAAGCGGCAGGCTGTGACTTGTAGAGTTCATGGATTTGGGCTGAGACAAGAGCGAGGCTCCGATCCTCTCAGCCTACTCTCCAGAACTCTGGCTTTAAAACAGCCTGCAAAAAACGCCAACTCCGCCGAAATACTCCTGTCCTTGGATTTCGGCTGAGACAAGAGCGAGGCTCTGAACCCCTCAGCTTACTCTCCTTGGATTTCGGCTGAGGCAAAGAGCGAGGCTCTGAACCCCTCAGCCTACTTTCCGGAGTTTGGCGAGGAGTCTCGCTCACTGCCGCTAGCGGCACTGGACCCCGTGGTCGATGCCTGGCTTCGTTTGCCTCCGGGGTCGTGCTTGTCGCAGAGATCCAGGATCGTGTTTAGGTTGCCGTCCTTCTCGCTGATGTAGCGGGCGAGGCGCCACCAGCCTGCAGTAGTGAGCTTCGGCTCTTTTTTGTTGATGTGTTCGTCAACAGGGAAGCGCCCAATCTGCGGGCATCCTTCAATGGCGTAGACCTTCGGGACAATGACCGGCACAAGGTCGTAAAGTTGCTGCGGGCTCATGTTGTTGAGCCCCTCATACCACGCCGTCTTGTTCTTCTTGACCTCGTCGTCGAGGATCTCCGGCATCAGGTCGGCCATCATTGCCAGTGTTGAATTCTCTGGCCCAGGGAACTCCAGCACCATAGATTCTCCCCTCTTCCAAGGGACGAACCGTGCGCCACAACCCAACTCAGCGGGGAAGGGGATGTCCGGGTAGTACTTTTCCCAGTTGGGTTTGTGCTGCCGGCAATACCACCGGGACCC